ATTTCTGATAACGTCAAAGGTTTGGATAAGAGAGAATATAGTGATGCTGAGGCTGCCAGAGATGCAGAAATACTTCTTCTTTTAACAAAGGTAGATCATACCGTACTTCTGCAAAAGCTGAGATCTCGCTGCTTGTTGTTACAGTATGAAGTGTCGTGGTATCAATGTTATGGAGATGACACAATTCCACATTTTCCAATGCCAAAATTTTACGGAGCCGAAGAATTCAGTGGGCCAGGAACAGGTATACTCGCTTTGGAGGATCTTAGCGACCGTGTGAAAACGATGGCATTTTTCCCTGGCCTTTCTCTAACACAGGTGCTTTCATTAACCAAAAACTGAACAGATATAAGTATGAGTGGTAATTCCCTTAATATTTTAAGTTGGAACGAGTAATGGATGCTCTGGCTGGATTCCATTATCACTTCATTTCCAAAAAAGACCAGACCTGGGTATCTCAGTTTGATCGAACTTCTGAAGTGGACCAAGAGTTCCAGGACTTTCAGGTGAAGACAATTTTCATTCTTATTTTCGCTAGATTATCTATAGCAAATTCTTCTCAGAGCATAACAGCATTTTTTTAAAATTCTCATAGAAACAACAAACTCTCGCAGCGCATACTTGCATTATATAGCAAGGTATCTACAATTTAATGGTGTCAGTACTTCCTTTCCATGAAATCTGAAATCAATCAGAGCAAGGTCCATATCGTTATTTCAATTCTTGCATCACAATTCTTGCAGTTTCACTCATGTCAAATGTTTGAGAAGATTCGGCCTGATCTGTTCAAAACGAAAATCACAGCCTTAAAAGAGAGCTTTAGAGTTGAAGCGGCCATCAGTGCGCATTATTCATTTGAAGAACTAGGTTTGGTGGTATAATTTTGTTTTATTTTCGTGTGACATCTGAGGCATCACAATTTTTGAAGTTCTATCAATTCAGGTGTTCCCCCAGTTCCCGTACACTATGATTTGAATCCCACAAACTTACTGTGGGACAAAGAAATGAAAAAGGTGAGTTTAGGGTTATTACTTGGTTTTGACTTAGAAAGTAATTCCGCGAATTGCAATTTCTGGTAACGAAGCGGACATTGCAAGATTATGAATACCACGAAAAATAGCCTAGCTGCCATGCAATCTTTCTCATGTTGAAAAGAAA